GTGAGGGGGGGGAGGGGAGTTAGGTCTGTGTGCTTATTTTTTGGCTATGTAATTATTTGTTTATTTTTTCACCTTTTTCCAGATGAAATAAAAATAGCGCTTTAGTTGACATCAATCAGTAGTGAAATACCCAAATTTTCTACTTTGTTGTATAATATTTTCATAATATTGAACATTTTAATCTTGCATAACAAATTTGAACTTGCTACGGTTAAAAATGGTGATACAATGACACTTTTAGTGAAATATAACGTCAAAAAAGATGGAATTTTGCAGTGCAAGAAATACAATATACATTTTTGAGGTATTCAAAATGGTTGCCGAATTAGTCATTTTTTTAAAACCTGTAAGTTCTACAAACAATGGGCATCTAGCGGTTTGATACCATTTTTCAGATGCATGCTTGTAAGATTTTGTAATATTGTATTTATAAACCCGCTATACTAGATCAAAACGAGATTAGAACGTGACTGAAACCTCAGAAGAGTACATCCGTAATGAAGAATATGGACACATTTTATGGTCCCCATTATGATCTCATTTTGGAACATGCTTTTTCTAAGTATGATGCAAGGTTTCTTTTCAATCCCATATCAAATGGAATAAAATTCAAAACAGTCACGCAAACTGGAAATAATGGTGTCACATTGAAGTTTATGATGTCATAGCTTATTGTCCTTGGGCAGTATTCATGAAACAGTTATTTTGCTCAAACTCAAGGTCTGTGCTCAAGCCCAACTTCATGTTCGGGTGGTTAATTAATAAAGAGAATATGTAATTTTTCAGGATTTTGGGAAGAATTTGGGAGAGTCTTTGGCAAACATTCTATTTTAAATGTTAACACTTGACTATCTGACCGTGTCTAATGATATGAACACAAAATCCATGCTTGAACATGAGAATGGTTTCATGTAAATGGGTCCTAATGATGACATTGCAACTGATTCACCTGTTTGTGTAAAATGGTGAATTTAATCATGATATTACACAAGCTACAAATCACAAAGAAATAACACGAACAAGATCACTGCTGTTATGTGACAAAAAGGTTTGGTTTGTGTATGTTTACGTCATATGGCATTAATTGTTATTTTAGGGACAAGGCAGGGTTTAGAGTTGGAGGACATCCGGGGTACCCAACAAAAACCACCGATCCTGTTTATATTTTAAAATATTCTGGCTTGGTCCGACATGTACATTTATAAATAATTCTTTGTCTGTTCTAAGCGCATATTTACTGGTATTTATTTAGAATTAATTTTGGTTCGCTACTTCAAATCCTGTCCTAATGGTGGGGATTTTCTAGAGATTGTGTTGAGAAGGTCCAAAATGTTATAACGCTTGGCGTAAAAAGATTAACCTCAAACAAAATAACTTATCGAGGTCGTCCAAAATGACACAACGCTTGGCATTAAAAGAATAACCAAAACACTTTATTCGATAAAAGCAGAAAGTTTAATAAATAAGCATAGAAACATTACATAAATAAAAGTCCTCTGAAATATAAATTCATCGGGAATAAGTATATTTAATCATAAAAACTATTTATATATGTGATTGAGTAAATATTGACAAATCACTTTGTCACTACAACCACGTAAACAGTGGACACTTGTGAAAGGACAAAGCGTACAGTTAAATCATCAGAAAGTCTGTAGTGGTGGTCGCACTGAGATCATCAGGGAAGCAGTTCCACGGAATCTGTTTGATATCATTACTTTCCGGCTGAATTGAAGAATTTATATTCATGACCCATGCCATCTTTGAAAATGGCAAGAGCTTTGACGCGATCTAATTGATCCTTTTGTTCGTCTATGAATCCTATTACACTCTTCAGAGTACTTCCTCCGGCAAAGTTGTCTGTCACCCATTGATCGTATGCACCGTGCTTTGTCTGCAACGGGATAATGAAACAAAAATAAAAACGCGATCATATGATTAATCTCGATATCCAAAGAGACCCGTAATTGTATATTCTACAAACAACAATGTATTTAACTATATTGGAAATATGATACTTTGTATTGTAATATATGTACTTCAGTACTGTTTATAAAGTACATACAATGTTGAAAAACCGGTGAATCCTCTTGCAACTTAAGGACCGAGAACCCTGTCATTACTTAGATACTGGAAATCTGTTGAAATTGCATGACTTAGAATCATATTGTTACTTAAGAATAATGGAGCATATTGTTACTTAAGGACTAAGAATCTGGTTGATACTTACAGAAGGAAATCATGTTGTTACTTAAGAACTACGGACCATATTGTTACTAACAGACTGAAATCCTGTTGTTACTGTAAAACTATAGACTCTGTTGTTATAGCATCTTTTTATGTTACTTCCTAAACGTATTTTGATATCGTCATTGATCTAACAGGAATACGACAAAATGGAATAGCATCTACAAAATGATCACATTACTCAAATATAAGGCTATATCTGTTGATTAAGTTTTTTATATGCCAAATGATCGTTACCATAATCTTATATGAATAACTGATCGGTACAATACAAGATAAATATAAGTATTCATTATGCTTATGGCCATGCGACAAGCTATACGGTTCTATATTTAAGTCTGCAGTTGTATACGTTTTGTAACATGGAATTCGGGCAATGCTTCAGTGTGTAGTTATTGTTTGCGGTTCAGTTGATGTTGTATATAAAAAGTGTAATATATCAAAGTATATTAATGATATCTTGTGACATACATTGTTACAACGAGTAGCTCATATATATTTCATAATAAATACATGTAAGAACACTTTCCCACTACTATTGAAATGCATTACTGTATACCAAAAATGTTCGCTGCAATTAAATTTTCGCCATTTTGCCCTCTGCAAGAACGAAAGATTTCTCATGACAGCTAACATAAGTACAGAAGTTACCCGAAATAGTAATTACATGTGAAAGGCGAAATTTACAGCGTGCGAAAATTGATTTTACCAGTGTAGAGCAAATACTGTATCTCACTGGGCGATATTTTCCTCATATATACAGTATCATCTTAAGCGCATAAGTACACGTAATCGTCATACATACCCCTATTTGGGTTCCCAGCCAGGACCACAGCTTCAGACATGGGGCTATTGACACAAGGAAGTAGATTGTTTCCGTTTCATCGGCTTCTTTGTCTACAAAGTCTACATACGTCTGACAAGCATCGCCTAGCTTGATACCAGAAGGATCATCGATATGCCATAATTTGAATGCACCTTTGTAATACCTGCAATTTTACAACATGGACGTTAGAATGAGACAATGGATCTACAACTATAGTGCTATACTGTTATAACATATTTGTTGTAGTTATCCTGTGTTAACTCTTGTTTATACAAGAATGCACATCAGTAGATTAACACTGTTTCCCTGACAACCACTCAATGTTTCCCGACTCGTTGGATAAATCCGGTAGGAGTTAACAATTTTGGCTACCGACTAGTGGGTTACACTTTGGAAGTAATATCATTCATCAACCTGTGAATTATGACGTCATGTAAAAATGTTTTGCGCCGTCAATTTAAATCATGACGTCATTTTCACTGGAAACAGAAATAATGCATTTCCAAGTGTTGAGACTTGATATGAATATGAATGAAGAAAAAAATCCCAAAACTACTGATAATTAGCTATCATGTTCATCTAACTCTCATTAATTACTTTGCAAATTGCCAAAGACACTCGGTAAAGGCGTCGTGTCTTAACACAATTTAAACTCGAGTTAGATAAACATGATAACCAACCATCACGTGTTGGGAGATCACTGTTTCTATAAGTGTATTCACGATGAATAAAAATCTTCAAAACATGTTGTTATATAGAAATTTTCATCTTACAATATTACAACTTCTACAGATTGGCGTTAGGTATCGCTTATGAGATGATACAAAAGTACATTCCATAAATGGAAAAAAAACATCATAATTACCCCTCGTATTTGCCGATCAGTTTTATGAGAAAAGTCTTCAGTACCCCTGGCTTTGCTGTTTTTTCCGCCTGTATGATAGCTTTATACTGTCGATATAGGTAGATACAGTCCTGGACCACGAACCCACCTTTGTTAAATATACAACAATACAATTAATACATAGCAATATAGGTTAATATAGGCCTGGACCAAGAGTCCATCTGGTTATAATATACAACAACAAAATTAATACAGAGCGATATATGTAGATACAGGCCTGTCCTACGAATCCACCTGGTTATAATATAGTATAATAAACCTACAGAGCGATATAGATAGAAACAGGCATGGACCATGAACCCTCCTGGTTGCAATATACAGTCGAACCTCGTTATCTCGAAGTCGACGGAATCGCCGGAAAATTTCGAGTTATCCGAGTATACGGGTTATGCGGGTTCATATATTTGGTATGAATCTTTTATGAACATCGTTGTTTTGACAGTTCGCACCCTTTACATTCTTAAGCTTTATCATAAAATATTTTTACCGATATCATGCTAGTCTACTCACGAAAGATGTTCATAAGCACGGAATGGCGAGATGCAGTAGTTTTGCTTTGTGTTTGTATCAAAGAATAAATAAGTGACAAAATGATATTCGAACACTTTGAAGTAGACGATGTATTAAAGTTAGATTTATGCTGTTGAAACCAATAGCTTACTTGAAGGCATCCGATTTTTTCGAGTTTTCAGGGTTCGAATTTTCAGAGTTTTATTTACTCAGATAAAGAACAGATTTGGTCGGGACCGGAGAAAAAAACGGGGTCTTCGAGTTATAAGAGTTCGAAATAACGAGGTTCATCTGTACAACAATAAAACTGATCCAGAGCGATATAGGTATATACAGGCATTGATTACGAACCCATCTTTTTATTATATACAATAGTAAAACTGTTATAGAGCGATAAACAGATAGGTTCGTAATCAATGCCTGTATATAGATTAGATAAGATCTTAGTATCTAAATGATCTTCATCCATTTATGATCTGTATAGATTAATGTATTATTTTATGTATATTTTAATATTATTGATTGTATAAATGATATATCAGTGTACTATAAAGCGCTGTAGGGTTGCTTAATCTAGCTAGATAGGGTGCTATATCAAATGTTGCATATTTATTTACCAAGTTCGTTTGCAATGAGCATGTATTCCTGATTGATGAATACAATAGAGATAAAAAAAAAAGACAAAAAACTCATCAATTTAATATGCAAGAGGGAAAATGTAATTACCAAACGTAACCGGATCAAGAGTTCCATCCTTAACACCTTGGACAAATGGCGTTGACAGAGCTTGTTTTCTTTCACTCTCTGTTTCAGCCCAAAGATAATCAAAATTGCTTCCCTACAACAAAGAGATAGATAAAAGTTCAAATACTACCTGTTACAGTTGTGGGATCGCACAACGTTACACGATGTGCGGTGTGCGCACGATGTGTGCACGGTGTGTGAACGGTGTGTGCACGATGGGCGAACGATAAAAAGCTGGACGATCATTGCTTGCGCACATCTGTGCGCACGATGGACGGACGTTGTGCGATAACAATCGTGGTTGGTGTAAATTGAGGAATGCCTTAACAAT